GGTCTAAGGGATCCCTTGGTGACCTGTCTGGTCTAAAGGATCCCTTGGTGACTAGACCTGTCTGGTCTAAGGGATCCCTTGGTGACCTGTCTGGTCTAAGGGATCCCTTGGTGACCTGTCTGGTCTAAAGGATTCCTTGGTGACTAGACCTGTCTGGTCTAAGGGATCCCTTGTTGACCTGTCTGGTCTAAGGGATCCCTTGTTGACCTGTCTGGTCTAAAGGATCCCTTGGTGACCTGTCTGGTCTAAAGGATCACTTGGTGACTGTAACTCAACACTGCATAAATAAAGGACCTTACAGGAGAGAAGGGCCTGCATGGTCCAGTGCAGGTACATGTATGTATAGACATGTTCTCAGTACACTCTTTTTTGCTATATAGATAATTTTTACCTCTTATTATATTCTGTGATGATACAATGATGAAGTCCTACCCATAATTTTATTTAAACATTTATTTTCCATTACCTTTGGATTTGTCCTTTATCAGTGTCTGTAAAAAACAATTAGTTTTTGTCTTTTTTCTGCACCGATTTAAAAAAAAATGTCGCACAAGACTTTTATCATTGACAAACAGATATATCAAATTGTGAATTATCATGTTCCCACCCTTCCATTTAGCCAGAGGGTGTCAAATTAATTGGCACAATCAATTATAAAAATCTCCTTCCTTAGCCTCGGAAATACTAGAATCAAATAAAGTGAATTGTATGGAAAGGCTACTGCGTTGATGACAAATTGTTAATTTTATTACCAGAAAGTCATCCATTTCTCTATCAAATGATTAAAATTCCAAATGAGCAAATGTCAAAGTGCTGATGGAAGTTATAGTTGATAGTGTTTGATGATGAAAAAACATGTCTTCAAATTGTTTGATTTTTTTAGCAATTCAAATGGATTTGAGAAAGGTATGCAAAGTGTTCATTTAGTCTGGCAGTTAATTAGAAAGTAAGATTTGGTTTGAATGCTGAAGTGTCCTTTTCATGTTTAAATAAAATAACATGTTCTGATTAAGTGCTAGTGCAGAATACTTACACTGAGAAATGCATAATTATCTCCTAAATATAGCTGTTTGTTTTATAGCTATTAATATTGCATAACAAATCTTATGATCATTTTCTCTCTATACACAAAATCTTAGTTTAAATTTGTAAACACCCAACCTTAGTTAAAATTTGTATACACGAAAACTTAGTAAAAACTTGTGTACAAGAAAAATTGGTTAAAATTTGAATACACCCAACTTAAATTTTTAATTTGTATTCACGAAAACCTTAGTTTAAATTTGAATACACAAACCTTAGTTTAAATTCTGAATACTCAAACCTTAGTTAAAAATTGTTACACGAAACCTTAGTTTAAAGGACTAGGGGCGTTAAGGACCATTTCCGGCCTCATCTTGGATTATGAATAAGTTGTTTTATTCTTAATCTTGAATAAACGAAGTATATAATTATGAAATATGAAATTTATTTGACCACTAGTTTAGAAGATATGGCATCACAAAGAGAGCCATTAACCCGCATTTTCACGATAAAATGCTATAATATCGTCTGATGTACGTTATTTGATTGAAAATTGACCATTTTGAAGGAAATTAATTCAACATTTATTTAATTTTGAAAGCCTGCGCATGCAACAAACAAAATAAAATTTGGCATGCTTAAACATTGTCAAACTAGTGTCCATTCACAGAAAGGAATTTTTGTTTGTCACGTGCGCAGGCTTTCATTTCGGCATGCCAACAGTCCCAAAACACCATGTTTTGGCTATTTCTGCATAGCAACGCGATTTTGTTGCTATGGTAACACATCTACGCATGCACATCGAAAAAAAATAACACCAAGAAAGATAGCCCCAATTAATCAATATGATGTTTATAACTGAAATTGGTAAATAAATTCAAGATGAAATTTTGACTTTTCGTGAGGCTAAAACTGACCCCTAACGCCCCAAGTCCTTTGTATGTCCTCAACTTTAGTTTGAATTTGTATACTGTGTGTACACCCAACATAAGTTTCAATCTGTGTATACACCCAACATAAGTTTCAATCTGTGTATACACCCAACATAAGCTTCAATTGATGTACTACCAATATAAGTTTCAATTTGTTACATAATCCAACTTTAGTTTTAATTTATATGTAAAGATCCTATTTTGTATCATATTCTAATTGATTTTTTACCTTGAGTCATTACAGTACATTGTAGTATGAAATGTCATGCTATCATAATTGCTGTGACTCTGTAAACAAATTCTGATTGAATACATACAAACCGTATGGCATATAAAGGATGGTTATTTTACTATTTCAGGATTGATATAGGGTAGCTTCATCATGATGCTATGGTGAAATGACAGCCATTTACATATTTCTGGAGGAATGTGAAGATTGCAAAGTTACAATGAGATCCTAGAGTTGATCTCCTTTTGTTCCTCTCACATATTTTTGGTTATTAATAGAATATCAAAAATGTGTTCTTAACAAATGATTGGTTACTGATAAGTGGTCCTATGTCATGGTTCCTACATGCCTTGAAAAGGCTCTAAAAACAAATGCTTTGATTGTATATTAATTTTTAGCCCACCATCATCTGATGGTGGGCTATTCAAATCACCCTGCGTCCGTGGTCCGTCGTCCGTCCGTAAACAATTCTTGTTATCGGTATTTCTCAAGAAATACCAGAGGGATCTTTCTCAAATTTTATATGCAGGTTCCCCTTGGTCCTTAGCTGTGCAGGGCAAATTTTGAGACTGATCGGATAAACAACATGGCCGACAGGCAGCCATCTTTGATTTTGATAGTGAAAGTTTGTTATCGCTATTTCTCAAGAAGTACCGGAGGGATCTTTCTCAAATTCTATATGTAGGTTCCCCTTGGTCCTTAGCTGTGCAGGGCAACTTTTGAGACTGATCGGATAATTAACATGGCCGACAGGCAGCCATCTTGGATTTTGATATTGAAAGTTTGTTATCGCTATTTCTCAAGAAGTACTAGAGGGATCTTTCTCAAATTTTATATGTAGGTTCCCCTTGGTCCTTAGCTGTGCAGGGCATTTTTTTGAGACTGATCGGATAAACAACATGGCCGACAGGCAGCCATCTTTGGTTTTGATAGTGAAGGTTTGTTACCGCTATTTCTCCGGAAGAACTAGAGGGATCTTTCTTAAATTTTATATGTAGGTTCCCCTTGGTCCTAGCTGTGCAGGGCAACTTTTGAGACTGATCGGATAAACAACATGGCCGACAGGCAGCCATCTTGGATTTTGATAGTGTAGGTTTGTTACCGCTATTTCTCCGGAAGAACTAGAGGGATCTTTCTTAAATTTTATATGTAGGTTCCCCTTGGTCCTAGCTGTGCAGGGCAATTTTAGAGACTGATCGGATAAACAACATGGCCGACAGGCAGCCATCTTGGATTTTGATAGTGAAAGTTTGTTATCGCTATTTCTCAGGAAGTACGGGAGGGATCTTTCTCAAATTTTAAATGTAGGTTCCCCTTGATCCCTCGTTGTGTATGTTATATTTTGAGACTGATCATAAAAACAAAATGGATTAAAAGAAGAACTAAACAGATCTTTCTCATATTGCAATGATCGATTCTATTTCTTTCACATTAAGTACTGTACTAGTAAATATGTGAAATGACAAACTCACTTTGAAGGTTGGCTTTCATACACATCAGTATAAGTTTAGATCAAAAGTTACCTCAAGGTGCATTTACTGTTAACATGACTCGATCAAACAGATTAGAGGAAAGAAGAGAAAAGATCGAACTGACAAAAAACTAATGAAGATGGTACAAAGGTGGGCGCCAATATCCCTCTGGGATCTCTTGTTGAGGTTCTGTGGTGTTATTTTCAAAAAAATGAGTTAAGAAAATACAAGAAATGAAAAATTTGTTACAAGTTAATTTCTAGATTTTCAGACTGCCAACCAGTGTTAGGTTTTAGGGTTGTTTGGTGTTTATATGGTGAGTTTAGCGACATCCAGGTTACACATCTAGACCTGTGTTAGGTTTTAGGGTTGTTTGGTGTGTATATGGTGAGTTTAGCGACATCCAGGTTACACATCCAGATCTCAGATTTTTGAGATTTGCAAATAACATCCAAAACAGACTATGTATTGCTTAAATATTGTTTGTTTTCATTTTATAAATGAAGATATATTATAAATTCTCTCAGTTGACATTGTGCCATTTTAGAATGATCATCTAAATTTGTATGAATATGTGAACATCACTATTTCTGTGTTCTGAGTTTATAGTCTTGCTGACTTCAAAGCAGAATGCATATTCCTCACTTTTGCCTTTTGTTAAAGCAAAATAATTGACTACTTTTTCAGTTTGAACTTTTTTTGAAATCGCAATTACCTGAACCCTAGATTATTCAAATATCTCATAGCTGTCAATTGTTAGATGACAAAATCGTTAAACAGGAACTTTCGACTAAATCTATAACTTGTGTGATTTTTGAGTTATGAGGAATTTCATGATGGTATATCCAAATCTTTATTAAATTTTTCCAACTGTTCTGAATTGTTACATTAGATAAATATAATTACTTGTCTGTATCTGTACCTCAGAAATAAATAAATGTACAAGTAATTATTTGTCATGTTTTCAACTGATAATACACTATTATTATAGTTTTCTAACGGTTCAATGGCTGCTAAAATTAAATTACAGTTTACGCATGCATTGATTAAACTTCGGATAATGAAAGTAAAACCATGATTTACAGCAAAAGTTGATGTCAGAGACTTATTGAAGTAACTGTACTTACAAATGTATGTGTTGAATATGTGCTACTTAAAGATATACCATATGACTACTGCTACTTGTGAACTGCTAATGTGTTGACTGATGTTGCTGACACTACTATCACAACTGTGCTGTAGGTTTTACAGAGATATACACAGTCCAAATTAATGGCAGAGAAATATTAACATAACCTAAAAGAAAGAACAACATGTATGTTAAATGGAATATCTGTGTCTTACCAATATCAGATTCTCCCAGTCGGAAACATTAATCCTTTGTAGGTATATGCTTACTCCCAACACGCGAGTACTCCAGCTTAAATCCTGGCTATAGGTAGTTTATGAGTACTCCAGCTTTAATCCTGGCTATATGTAGTTTATGAGTACTTCAGCTTTAATCCTGGCTATATGTAGTTTATGAGTACTCTGGGTACGCCTGGTATAATCCTTAGATGTCAGTACTATCTAGAAAATTCAGTATTAATCCTCGTCAAGTGTTGTCTAAATAATCCAGTTTGAATCCTTGTCGAGTACTGCCAGTGCAGTTTGAATCCTTTGTACTGTATGGCTACACCCTTAACTATCCTCAGGATGTGAATACTATGTGAGTACTGTCTACAGTCTCCAGCATTATGTATCCCTTGTAGGAGACTGGTCCAATCTGTCAAATATCAACAAAGAGCAGATATGGCACCTCTGGGTATCGGTGAGAACAAAACAGGAACATAATTCTCACAAAATGTACTACAACAATGAATTGTAATAATAGAAGCTGAGGCTGCAGGAGGAAATATCAATATGATGAGCAAAGCTTGTGGTGAGGAGGAGGTCTCCCCACTGTCTATACTCTACACCTGGTGCTGGGAGGCAGTTATCACCCAGTAAATCTACAATTAGCTTAGAGCACAGGGTCATCAGTATGCACCATCTCCCAGAAACAGCTGGACATACACATTCCTGTAGTCAGACAGACAGGCCCAACAATGCTTTATAGACACCAAGATAGGCCTCGACAGATGCTGTGTCCTTGTCCATCATGAGACTGATGTAGATCTGCTGTTTGTTGATTTGTGTGATCACAGTTTTAAATCTGATTAGTCCATTGCCACTAGTTACTGGATGGACAGCACCACAGCATCCTGTACAGAGGCAGAGTATTAGCCTGTATAGCAATGGAGCTGTGACACAGTGGCCCTTATATACTGTGACTCTGTATAGCAATGGAGCTGTGCCACAGTGGTCCTTATATACTGTGACTGTATAGCAATGGAGCTGTGACACCCTTATATAGTGTGACTGTATAGCAATTGAGCTATGCCACAGTGGCCTTTATATAGTGTGACTCTGTATAGCAATGGAGCTGTGCCACAGTGGTCCTTATATACTGTGACTGTATATCAATAGAGCAATGACACAGTGGCCCTTTTATAGTGTGACTCTGTATAGCAATGGAGCTATGCCACAGTGGCCTTTATATAGTGTGACTCTGTATAGCAATGGAGCTGTGACACAGTGGCCCTTATATAGTGTGACTGTATAGCAATGGAGCTGTGCCACAGTGGTCCTGATATACTGTGACTGTATAGCATTGGAGCTGTGACACAGTGGCCCTTATATACTGTGACTCTGTATAGCATTGGAGCTGTGCCACAGTGGTCCTTATATACTGTGACTGTATAGCAATAGAGCTATGACACAGTGGCCCTTTTATAGTGTGACTCTGTATAGCAATGGAGCTGTGACCCAGTGGTCCTTATATACTGTGACTGTATAGCATTGGAGCTGTGACACAGTTGCCCTTATATACTGTGACTCTGTATAGCAATAGAGCTGTGACACAGTGACCCTTATATAGTGTGACTATATAGCAATGGAGCTGTGACACAGTGACCCTTATATAATGTGACTGTATAGCAATAGAGCTGTGATACAGTGGCCCTTTTATAGTGTGACTCTGTATAGCAATGGAGCTGTGCCCCAGTGGTCCTTATATACTGTGACTGTATAGCAGTAGAGCTATGACACAGTGGCCCTTTTATAGTGTGACTCTGTATAGCAATGGAGCTGTGGCACAGTGACCCTTATATAGTGTGACTGTAAAGCAATGGAGCTGGGACACCGTGGCCCTTATATACTGTGACTGTATAGCAATAGAGCTATGACGCAGTGGCCTTTATATAGTGTGACTGTATAGCAATGGAGCTGTGAAACAGTGACCCTTATATAGTGTGACTGTATAGCAATAGAGCTGTGATACAGTGGCCCTTTTATAGTGTGACTCTGTATAGCAATGGAGCTGTGACCCAGTGGTCCTTATATACTGTGACTGTATAGCAATGGAGCTGTGCCACCGTGGTCCTTATATACTGTGACTGTATAGCAATGGAGCTGGGACACAGTGGCCCTTTTATAGTGTGAGTCTGTATAGCATTGGAGCTGTGCCACAGTGGTCCTTATATACTGTGACTGTATAGCAATGGAGCTGTGACACAGTGACCCTTATATAGTGTGACTGTAAAGCAATGGAGATGTGACACAGTGGCCCTTATATAGTGTGACTGTATAGCAATAGAGCTATGACGCAGTGGCCTTTATATAGTGTGACTGTATAGCAATGGAGCTGTGACACAGTGGTCCTTATATACTGTGACTGTATAGCAATAGAGCTATGACGCAGTGGCCCTTATATAGTGTGACTGTATAGCAATGGAGCTGTTACACAGTGGTCCTTATATAATGTGACTGTATAGCAATAGAGCGGTGACACAGTTGCCCTTATATAGTGTGACGGTATAGCAATGGAGCTGCTACACAGCGGTCGTTATATACTGTGACTCTGTATCGCAATAGAGCTATGACGCAGTGGCACTTATATAGTGTGACTGTCTAGCAATGGAGCTGTGACCCAGTGGTCCTTATATACTTTGACTGTATAGCAATGGTGCTGTGACACAGTGACCCTTATATAGTCCTTATATACTGTGACTCTGTATCGCAATAGAGCTGTGACACAGTGTCCCTTATATAGTGTGACGGTATAGCAATGGAGCTGCGCCACAGCGGTCCTTATATCCTGTGACTGTATAGCAATGGAGCTGTGACACAGTGGTCCTTATATAGTGTGAGTCTGTATAGCATTGGAGCTGTGCCACAGTGGTTCTTATATATTGTGACTGTATAGCGATGGGGCTGTGACACAGTTGTGGCCCTTATATACTGTGACTGGGATTTATTTAAGGATTGAACTGTTTTTGTATGGTTTTTGTGATCTATTTGAATGACACAGCTTTGCAAGCAAACAACATAATGCACGCTAAATACCATACAAAAACAGTTCAATACTTATACTCACATTTTCTCTGCCTCTTATGTTCTTTTTTAACTTATAATTTATATTTAAAATTAAAAATGCCCGCCTTATCGACAGTTCACACAATTTCGTCAATAGTTTGAACAGCGTATTGTCACGTGCTGATTGGCAAACAAAGTAGTACTTTGAAATTTTAACAAACACTTCAATTTTATTCCACAATTTAGTATCAATACAATTGTGTATGATATGTTTATAGGGTGATTTAAGTTTATCAATAGAACTCTGAGCTGAAAGTTAGATTTGAAATTGTTTCGAATTTTCCCGGAACAAATTTCACGCATGGACAAATACAGTGAACACCGTAAATCCGACCTTGCCCTCCACGAGGGAGTTATTTTTGGAAGTTAATTCAAACTTTTCTCTTTGCTCATTTTGTGAAGAATCCAGGCGTGAATGTATTTGTTGATTGTATGGTAACCTGACAACAGTCGGTAGATTCTATAACAGCGTAGTTATTTGACATGTCGTCAGAAACTGAGGAACCGTGGATGTGAGACGTGTGAAGTTGATAGCGTTTGGAGTGAGTGATCTTGCGACGGAGCACAGGTTCGTTACAAATGTCTGAAATGTTAATGTGTGCTGTGACTCTTATCAGTAGGCCTGTAAATTATGTGTCAGTAGGTCTATAGAATATGTGTGTTTCAGACATTTGTAACGAACCCCTGTTGATCAGTGCAGTGTAACAGACGATATTCTGATAAATTGCATGAGCGTTAAAATTGTTTCCATTGCCGGCATTGGTGATTTCAAACAATGTGCATTTTGTACGATATTGCAGACCTTGGTCTTGTTTTCGTTGTAATAAAAGTGTTTTTAGCTCACCTGGCCCGAAGGGCCAAGTGAGCTTATCCCATGGTGCAGCGTCCGGCGTCCGGCGTCCGGCGTCCGTCAACTTTTTCCTTTAAAATGCTACTTGTCCTGAATGGCTCAAAGGATTTTGACCAAATTTGGTCAGGAGCATCATTGGCCAAAGGGTTCTCAGTTTTGTATAAACGGAGGGTATAACCCCCCTGTGGGGGCAGAGGGGCGGGGCCAAATAGGGGGAAAATAGGTAAATCTTTAAAAATCTTCTTCTTCTCAACCAATTGAAGGATTTTGACCAAATTTGTCCTAGAGCATCTTTGGACAAAGGAGACTCAAGTTTTTATAAACGGAGGGTGTGGCCTCTTTGGGGGCAGAGGGGCGGGGCCAAATAGGGGAAGTAGAGGATTTTTTCTCTCCTACTATACAAGTGAAGGGATTTAAACCAAATGCAGTCTGAAGCTTGGTCAGGAGCATCATTGGCCAAAGGGTTCTCAGTTTTGTATAAACGGACGNCAAATATCCTTCTCCTTTTGTACCGATGAAGGGATTTTGACCAAATTTGGTCTGGAGCATCATTGGCCAAAGGGTTCTCAGTTTTGTATGAACGGAGGGTATGGTCCCCCTGGGGGCAGAGGGACGGGGCCAAATAGGGGAAAATAGGTAAATCTTTAAAAATCTTCTCCTCAACCAATTGAAGGATTTTGACCAAATTTGTCCTAGAGCATCTTTGGACAAAGGAGACTCAAGTTTGTATAAACGGAGGGTGTGGGCCTTCTGGCGGCATAGGAGCGGGGCCCAATAGGGGAAATAGAGGATTTTTTTTCTCCTACTATACAAGTGAAGGGATTTAAACCAAATGCAGTCTGAAGCATGCTTAGGGAGAAAAGAATCAATTTTGTTTAAACTGAGGTGTGTGGATTCCCCTTCTTTGGGGCAGATTAGTGGGGCCCATTAGGGGAAATAGAGGAAAACATTAAAGATCCTTCTCCTTCTGTACCGTTGAAGGGATTTTAACCTAACCAAACTTGTTTTAGAGAATCTTTGGGCAAAGGGAATTGAATATTTATAAATGGAAGATGCAACTTTGTTACTTGTACTCTTTTGATAAACCTGAATTGTACTCAGCAGGTTTTAAATTGAAAAATAAAATACCAGGTGAGCTATTAAGGCCCCTGGACCTCTTGTTTATTTTATATTTTATTTTCCACATGAATTTACAATGACATTGTCAAATCTCACAATGCCCAGCGATATTTCAGCAGCCGTCATGTTTATTTATGTTGGATTTTGTAGTTCCGGTCAGTGTTGTATTAATATGCTAAGAATTGTGTCTCGTGATGCATGGTTATTAAAGTCCCATCAACGACACAGCTTTCAAAGAGGCTATATAGTGACAATGCCATGCAAATGTAAATATATATCTCATTGAAGCTCTGACACAATTGCCTTCATATACTTTGTCTTACCAGGGGTCTATATCTCACTAAATCAGTGACAAGGTGACACTTTCATGGCCCATATATATACTGTGACTCTCCAGGGGGTATATTTCACACTGAATCCGTGACAATTAGGTGACACAGTGGCCCTTAAAGTACTGTAACTGGAATCTATATCTCACTGAAGCTGAGTAAAGTGGATACAATGGCCATTATACTATAGTGGTCCATCTTTCCCTGAAGCCGTGACAAGTTGAATTGACCCCCCCCCCCCACCTCCAATATTAACTGACTGTGACTGATCTTTATAACACTGGAGATGTAACACTGCTATCAATGGCCGGGTTTTACTGTGACTTAGTCTTTAACCTTTCAACCTAACTGTGACTTAAATATGTGACAAGCTTTACTGGAGACTTGAACTTGAACAGTGTTTTCATGTTTGTTGAGGTGAAAGGTAATGTGACAGAAATGTTTATTTTGGTTTCTGAAGGTATATACATTTTAAACAAATAAATGTTATCTAGTGTATATTCCAGTCACCCACAGCTCCTACAAACACACCCTAGTT